CATTAGATATGACCGGTGCAATAAAAAATGTACGTTCTTTATTACGCAGCTGTCCAGTGCTGCCATATCCAAAAGAGCGTCACGCGCTGGGTGTGCACACGTGTTGGACGGTGTGGCCTGCAGACAGTTGTGGGCTACGTAGCTGCCAAAGATACCTTCAACCCATTCCGTGCCACTTGAACCGCCAATTCCAGTGCCACTTCATCACAGGAACCCGCAGATGTCGGAAAATTGTTCTCAAAACTTGGATGCTCTGAACTGGAGACGTAACTTTTCCACCACCAACATCTCATTCGCAAAAACCCGCGAAATTGGTCGGTTTGTGGGTCAAATTTAACGGACTTCTACAGTTCGCAATGTTAAAAAATTATGAATATTGGTATTTATCAAGTGAAGCCATCTAAAGTTGGATTATGCTGCCGAACATGATGCGGTTTTGCAAAATAATATCTTGATTTTCATAGCAAGTGCTTCAGTGACAGAAATCCCATGGCACACTTGACACATCAGCAAACCAGGTTGCAAAAATTAACAACATTAAGCAAACATCTCACTGAGAAAGAAACTCAAGAATACCATCTCAAATTTTCAGAGGTTGGCCTGATTTCGTGGAGGTGTAGTTGTGTGGGTCATTGATGTAAACACGGCCACATCATGCGCTTGGCTGCTATTGTGAGGGTGGGGTGGTGAATGGACTGGTCAATGCTTTCTTGTGTTGTATACAAGCCATATCTCATCAGTATCATGGTTAGTAAAATGAAAGGGAAGCTGTGTGTCTTCCGCTTGCTGTAGCTTCGCTCACTTGTCAATACATCCGCAGTTACTGGCGTGGCCAACGCGCAACAATTATCGAAATGATGGATGGAATAACTGTGCGGACCGCCGTTCTCGTCTGGCGTGTTAGCCCGCGCCTGACCAGGGGTCAGGGAAGCGCGCCTGGCCAGGGGAGTTTCTGACTTCCCTGGGATCTCCAACTTCTAAACGTCGTATGAGAAAACTGAAGATGCGGTTGTGAGGGTCTCGTTAAATGATATAGAAAACACACCAAGTTTTTATCTTCGGTTAAATATGAGGTCACCAGAGGTCATGAAAGAAAAAATGATCGATGTGATTAGATGTAGTTGAGTTGTGTTTAGGCGTCAAGACGGATACTGAGGGCACAGAAGTAAGCGTTAAGACTTTGGGGAGTCCATTCCGACCATTTTTACCCTCCCACAAGGATCAGGTCAGGTCATTATTCAAAAATGGTCAACGATAGGCCTACAAGAACGCTACTTTTTTCTTTACAATATGCTTCTGACTAAGCTTGTTTTATGAGGTGCAGCTGTGGGAGAAGAGCATCCCAGGCGCAAAAAAATACCAAAATACCTTTTTAGGCGGACCTAGAGGTCAGTTGAAGTCAACTTAGGTCAAATTCATAAACTCTGAATGAAAAAACGTGAAATGTTGCCGGGTCTAAGTGACCACTGCAGTGCTTTTTCGGTGGTCAGAAATAGTGTCTTGTGCATCTGGAGGTGCCCGAGATCGCATAGCTCTTACATTGTACAGTCCCCTCCACGCTTGGCAGTGTATTCGCAACGAACTGAGAACAGGCACGTTGCCACCTAAATTTGTACATGTCATCAGCCTGACAAACCCGGCGTAGAGGTGGCTACACACGCATCTCACTCGTTCATCTAACCTCTCCGCTCCTGACAACATTGGCCATTGACCTTGATGACCTCTTGGTCTTTCTTGCCTTCACGTGACAAACCATGACCTCACTATGCATTAGATTGATATAATTTTTTTATTGAAATATTCGAATTTTGCACCCAAAATTGCCCTATAGCATTGCCTACTTTGAGCTCAGCATGCGTTTTACAGAAGGCGCCCATAGAGGTAGGTGGTGACTTAGGCCAACTTCATTTGCTCTGTGGTCGTACACTGGTTGTGCATGCGAGTTAGTACCCCTTTTCTCCTATACAAGGAACAAAACTACACAAAAGTGCGTAAACATTTGCATTTGGTACGAAAAATGGCAAAAATCGACCCACCTCAGGTCACTGACCGTGCTTTAGAAAATCTGAGACACAAACTGTAGGTACTATCATGCTCTATTTCTGTAGCAAGTGTGAGCAGTGACAAACAACGCACAAAAAGTTATGCGTGGTCAAAGTTGTTTAGAAGCTGACCTCTGACCTGACCTAGGGCACTGACTTCGGCAGATCAAAACTTGAATGTGCACAAAAAATGCCAAATTGGTGCATTAATAGGCACTGAAAATTTGGAAGTGCTGCGAGCGTCTGCTTTGAGTTGTGCTCGACAAACCGTAGGCGGGTAAGTCGACTTCCCCTGGCTGGGCGCGGACTAGTTACATATTTTGGCCAATGAACCTTCCAGCTGTCGTCAGGCGTTATGGAGTGCTGAGAAGGACTTGATGTAGCCCACGGTGGGACTCATTGTTCGGACTACCGTTCTCGTCTGGAGCGTTACTTGCGTAACGTTTCGTCCAGTTCACTCGACAGCCTTCGCCAGGTGTAGAGTGCTGATGACTGAATGGCGTTTGGCTGTCAGCCATGCATGCGTCACAACCCGAATTATCTCTGTGGAGTGGCTGGTATTCGAACCAGAATCCTGATCACGAGTCCAGTGCTCTACGAACTGAGCGAACCAGAAGGGACAGCTTCCGGTTAGCTCCCGGCGTTCTTCGCGGACAGCTCAGTCGGTAGATAGCCGGCGGACAGCTCAGTCGTTAGATAGCCGAGTTGGTTGAAGCGTCTGCATTCGTGCCCCGTGGCGGTGTGCGATGGTCTCGGCTTAAGCGCTCACTATCTGCCCCCGACTGGGATGGCCTGCGGCCGGCGGCAGCCGCCGCGCTAAAGGTCATGTGACGTCAGAGGGCAGAAGCGTGCCGAACCTAACCAAAGCCGAACCTGACCGGATCTAGAACCCAACTAGAACCAGGAGCCTAGAACGTAACGTGCCGAGCTATTGTCGCAAGTTAATCTTTTGTCACAAAATTCTGCCGTAGACGCGGATCGCCAAGGTCTGATGGTGAGATCAGGCTTGCGCTACAAACACTGCTTGGTGTTCGCGCTGATCCCAGAAATCCGTCCAATCTAAAGTTGGGGCTAAGTTTATATAACATGAAATGAAATGGAAAATCCAAGGTGTTGTGACCAGGATCTGCCCAGAAAACTGTTTTGGTTCTGGATGCATTCTGGTTTCATCAGCCTAATTTCGTGGAAAGTTTTTTTCTATTTGGCGTATCTCAACAGCCTGGCAACGCTTTGTTACGCTTTGAAACGCTTTTAGTGTTGATTTTGTGCTCCTGGTTGTGCCTTTCCTTGCTTTATGGTTCGCAGATTTTCTTGTTCGCTGCAGATAATTCGTTGTGTTATTGTACAAGACGCGAGGTATTAAACAGAGGCGCGTTGTTTTCAAGCAATTTACGTGGTGTGCTGCTCTCGTGATTGCGGCATCATGCTGAGGTATTGCTCTCGTGCATGATGTGGTGGTAGTCCAGCAACTACGTTTCTGTTGTGTCAGTGTTCCGCTTCCGTCCACCAGTGCTATTCCTCTCGGTCTTGGGTTGTCAGCTATCTCGTGACGCTTGTTAATTGCATTACTACTCGCATTTTGTTTTCAAACATCCGCTGAGCCAGGTGACGTATGTCACCGTCAAGCGGCATTTTTAAGACGACGAAAACTATAAGAGGCAGCGCGTGTGAACTTGTGATGGCTAGTGATACGCTCATCGCGCATGTTTTTTTCAGAAACGAAATGGTTCCAGGTTTTGCCGGGTGACTGAACAATGGCGCCGTTGGATGTGGCTTGCGGAGCCTTTTTTACAAGAATTGGGGGGAGGGGGACTGCCTGCCACACAGCACTCTCCAATGGCATGAGGGGAAGGAAATTGACCTCGCCCAGCTTTGGCTAAGATGAAACCACCTCGCCTGTCCGTCCGTGAATATTATTTCATAGCGAAAAGTCAGAAGATCCGGCCCATGGCGCCTGGTGCAAGGCCAGCCGGATGTGGTTCCCCGTCATCTCTCTTTATCAACCGCCTCCACATCGGCCTCTGCATCGACACGGCCGCGCGCCCCCGTACCTGTGTGGTCAGCGGCAGTCTGTCGTCGCGCGCGGGGGGGCGGTTCGGCCCGCCGGGACTGACGCGGTGATTAGGTGCCTGATCGGAGCCGGCCGGATTGCGCCGCCTGGCAGTAGCGGCGGGCGCGGCCGCAACTCCCCCGGGCGCGTCGTCGGCGACCACGGAGCGCGGCGGGGGCGGAAGGGAGCCGTCACTGGGGCGTCAGGGTCGGGCCCACAGGCGGAGCCGGGTCGCAGCTCCCCCGGGCGCGTCGTCGGCGGCCACGGAGCGCGGCGGGGACGGAAGGGAGCCGTCACTGGGGCATCAGGGTCGGGCCCACAGGCGGAGCCGGCTCGTTCCGGTGCAGGCGTGGGTGGAGGGGGGCTGCAGGGCTCGCGGCGGGAAGACACGGCGCGTTGTAAGCAAGCGGGAGGGCATTGCTTTTGCATGGAACGGGGGTGTCGGACCTGTGCTTGGCTTCTGGAGGCAGGGGTCGTCGGTAGGTGCTGACCCAGGTGTCGGGTCTGCTGGGACCTGTGCTCCGCTCCTGGAGGCAGGGATCGTCGGTAGGGTCTGACATAGGTGTCGGACCTGTGCTTGGCTTCTGGAGGCAGGGGTCTTCGGTAGGTGCTGACTCAGGTGTCGGGTCTGCCGTGACCTGTGCTCGGCTCTTGGAGGCAGGGGTCGTCGGTAGGTGCTGATCCAGGTGTCGGGTCTGTCGTGACCTGTGCTCGAGTCCTGGAGGCAGGGGGTCGTCGGTAGGTGCTGACCCAGGTGTCGGGTCTGCCGGCGTGGTGGGATTGGATCCATCGCCCGGGCGTGATGGAGGGGATAGGGGGGGGGGGGGGGTCTGACCCGTCGGCGGCTGCTGAGTTTCGGAGCCTGTCGCGATTTGGCGCTGACCCGCCTTTCCGACACCGGCAGGAGGTGACCACCGTGTTCGACATCATGGAGCTGGAGGACGAGGATCGCAACAAACTGCTGCAGCTGGACGACAAGCAGATGGCCGACGTGGCCCGCTTCTGCAACAGGTCAGCGGGCACACGCGGCCGAGCCGGAACCGCGTTGAGCCCCCCTCACGCCGGCCCGAGCTGGTGCGCGGCGCTTCCGCCGTCAGCGTCCCCTCCACGCGTCACCCTCGCGTTCGGAGCGGGCCGCCGCCTGCCGGACGGCGACACGTGACTCGCGCGGTGCGGTGTCGAAGCAGCCGCATGTTGGGGTCAGTCAGGCCGCGCTGAGAGACGAGCGCCCGCGCCGCCGCCGCCGCCGCCGCCGCCGGCCCCAGGCGCGGCGCTGCGCGGCGCGCGGCCCTAGGTGAGCACGGCTGATGGCGGGCAATTAGTGCCGCTCGGAGCTGATTTACGAGGCAGCCGGGCGCGCGCCGTCGGCGGCACCGCGCCCTGCGCTGACAGCCGGATGGCCTGCGTGATCGGCTGCAAAATAACAACGTGCAATTATTGGACGGGGTTATCCGGACGTGGTGTATCTGATGTGCTCCGAAAATATTCACTTATTGTGACAGGGCCTTCGACCCGCTTGGGCGTCAGGCCCATGCCAAAGGCTGTTTGCCGTTCACACAGGTAAAACTGCGGTAAATGACTCAAAACATTTGAGCTGGTTGTACAAGCTGCAGTGGGATAGCAACGTGTCGCAGGAGTTCCAGCAGTATCGAACGGTGCATCTTAAGCCAAAAAGAATGCTTGAATAATGTTTAAAACATGTCGAGCACGTGTAGCTCAGCAAGAACTTTGTTGGGCATAACTGATATAATTTCCGCGGATCGTGTATATTCAGGCGCAGTGTTCGGAAACCTGTTAAAGGCCCGAAATGTGTCCATCCCGATAGCCAATTGGTTGGAGAGATTGCTTTCCGATTCACCCACCCGTGTGGGGGTGGGTTCGAGTCGATTCAGGCGCGCGCTATTTGCCGTGGGCTGAGATGGTCTGCGGCCGGGGACAGCGGCCGCACGAAAGGTCACGTGACGCTGGAGGGCAGGTCGGACCGTGCCACCATCGCGGCACGCTGCGAAATTCCTGCCGTTGACCCGGGGTTTCATGATCGGACGGTAGCGTCAGGGGTTACGCGACAAGCTCCGTTTAGTGTTTGCGCTGTTCCCAAAGATCGGTTGCCAATCAAGAGGCTTGGTCTAGATCTTAGAACCAACATGTCGTGGCCTCTAACACCCATTGATTAAACATTTTAGATATATATATATATATATGCACAATTATTTTTATGTATGTGTAGATACCCTACATATATATATATATATATATATCTATTATATATATATATATGTACTATATAGATATATAAACTAGATACATATATATATATATATAGATATATATATTATGTATATATATAGACATATATATATATCATCATGATTCATAATATATAGTATATATATATCATATATATATTATATATATCATATACTATATATTTATATTTGGCGCCATATGAGTTTGGGAGTCGGTCTGTCCCTGCAGGAGGTTGTCAGGATTCACGACCACCTCTGGGCATGTGGATTGCTATCAGCTCCAAATGGTGCCCGATCTATCTGTCTCCGACGCGGTCCGGGCGGGCAGGGAGGGGGGGGGGGGCGTACATGTCTTGCTGATGGGGGGGGCCCAATCTACTGGACGTGCGCATCGGTCCATCTATCGGCTGCGTTGGCCCCGGCGCCGCCGGTGTTTTCCTGGGAGATTGGTCTATCCGACGGCGTTCTTACAGCCGGTGACGTTCCAAGGACCTGACGCAAGCGGGGTGATGCTCTGCTCTGGCAGGCAAGGCAAGAAGCCGAGCTGAGCGCCGATCATGCGCGCCGCAGGAACAGGCCTCTGAGGCGGGCAGAGCTGAGCGCCGATCATGCGCGCCGCAGGAGCAGGCCTCTGAGGGGGCAGAGCTGAGCGCCGATCATGCGCGCCGCAGGAGCAGGCCTCTGAGGCGGGCAGAGCTGAGCGCCGATCATGCGCCCGCAGGAGCGGTCTGAGGCAGGCCGGGCAGAGCGCCGATCATGCGCGCCGCAGGAGCAGGCCTCTGAGGCGGACAGAGCTGAGCGCCGATCATGCGCGCCGCAGGAGCAGCCTCTGAGCAGGCCGGGCAGAAGCGGCGCCGCGCTGGAATCGCGACTTGGCGTCGGCAGGGGGCAGCCGCCGCATGGTACTGCGGAGCGGACCGACGCGTACAAGGTGTGGCACTAGGACCACCGAGGCGTGTGGAGTAGCGGGGTCACCGAAGCACGGTGTGAGGATCGGGCTCCGAAGGCCGAGGTGATCAGGGCGGCTGCACGGGCCCGACAGTTGACGCTGTGGCCGGTGAGGCGAGAGCCCTGAAGCGGCACTGGGCATCAGGGCGTCTGCACGGGCCCGACAGTTGACGCTGCGGCCGATGAGGCGAGGGCCCTGAAGTGGCACTGGGGATCAGGGCGGCTGCACGGACCCGACGGTTGACGCTGTGGCCGGTTAGGCGAGGGCCTTGAAGTGGCACTGGGGATCAGGGCGGCTGCACGGGCCCGACAGTTGACGCTGTGGCCGGTGAGGCGAGGGCCCTGAAGTGGCACTGGGGATCAGGGCGGCTGCACGGGCCCGACAGTTGACGCTGTGGCCGGTGAGGCGAGGGCCTTGAAGTGGCACTGGGGATCAGGGCGGCTGCACAGGCCCGACAGGATCAGGGACGGCTATGACGGGAGGGTTACCGGCGCGATCTGGTCGATGCTGGCACCACTGGCCCAGATGGAACGCCCGCGCATGCGCAGTCCTCGTGGCTGGCATGGATTCAGCTGACGGACCGAGCTGTTTACGCCGACACGCGATCCTTGATGCCGCGGGATAAACATGCCGCCCGTCTCATATGATCCTTTCATTTACGCTTGATTATAATGCTGAATTGATGTAAAGGTACTTCAAAGCAAACTTACGATCCCAGAAAGTGTTTTATCCCCTGGACTGGAACCTGCCCGAAAGCTACGGCGACCAGCAGTGTAACAATGTCAAATGTGTAGCCATTAAAATGGAGCCAGAGACGCTACGCACTGGGCCGCGGAAGCGACCTCAGCGCTGGCAGCGCTGGCTGGCCTGAGCCGGCGGTGACCTGCTGCCGGGCCGGGTCAGGGGCGTGGGCGGCGTCCCCTGGGGACCCGGTACAGCTGCCGTTAACATGATGATCGGCGACAGCGGATGTGCAGCCGCGTCTGGAAGCCTTAAGGTTGCGCTTTACCACCTGCGCCGGGCGGAGTTTGCACCGTGGATACTGCCATCCTTAATCAGGACACCGGCCATTGGGAGAACCTTCAGCATATCAGAAAGTGGCAATCTTAGATGGACCGAAACATTGCCGCGGAGTAGTTTTTCCAGATTGGGGCCCCACAGTTGCACACATCGCTAGCGGTCAAGGACACCTGAGACGAGGCCGTTATTCGGGCTGCGCTATTGGCGTTTCGCACAGCTTCGCGCAGCACACATTTGTGTGCCGCCTCGCCGTGCAGTGCTCACATAACTCGGACCATAGTGAGATCTTTCACTCGAATGGCTGTCATAGGCTACTCCGAGCTCTCTGGCTTCACACATTGGAGAGGCTTTTGCAGACACAAAAATCGCGCGGGGATTTCGAACGCGCTTGAGACCGAGTCATTCCTTTCAAATATCACAGATCGATATTCTCACTCAGTGGCTCGCCCCGCTCTGCTAACCTGCATGGGACCGCTTGTGGCAAACGCGCAGCGTTCGAAGTGCCGTAGTTGTAGATTTGCCCTGCGCCATATGGTGTCTCGGCTCAGGTCTGAGGTCAACCAAGCGAGCAGACCGCATGACTCGTCCCCGTACACAGCCGCGCGCTCCATGTGTATGCCCGGCTGGGGCGCGACGACATTTCACAATTCGAGGCAGTGGGACTACCCGACCCTACGTCACCGTTTTCCTATCGAACAATTTATAGGCAGGCGCCTCGTACAGTGAAGGTCTTAAAATCATTGTTTCATGGCCAGACAGTAGTAAAAGGCTCACTCCTCGGAGAGAAACCAGGAGAGTGGATATATAGATATGTTGATATTTCGGCAACATGCCTTTATCGAAACGAAGAGCAGAAGTGCTTCTGATTTTCGTTTCGATAAAGGCATGTTGCCATCTTTATTCTCCTGGTTTTTCTCCGAGGAAGGGGGCTATTACTACTGTCATCTACATGAATAATGTTCCTCGCAAATGGATTTAAAAACTTAGGCAATTTTGTCTTATGACCCTTCGTCCTCATAGGTACGGAACTTGGAATTGTCTGCAAAAACATACCTGCATGCATCAACATTTGAGGTGACTGGCGTGGCATGATGCCACCTTAGGCGAACAGGTACGAGCGGGAAAAAGAATTTATGGGAATTCTGAATGCTATTGTGTTGTCAATTCCTTAATACCGCGCGCTAAAGACGGCTCGTGGAGTTCTTCGAAACATGTAGTTGGTTGGCAAATGAAAAAGGCGTGAGGATGAATAGGTTTATAGCCATGTAAGCTATATAATTTTCATTTCATATTTTTGTTTTGCACACCATCCACACATCTGTAGCGACCAAACTCGATTGTGCCACACTTTCTCACGAATCAGCATTGCTAGGAAACTTCGCATCCCCATTGCATACAGGGGATTTCCCGCAACGTTACCATAAATGTTCGTTTATTACGCGAGGAGGGTATCATCATACACGTCATCATCATCACCTTTCTAACCGCGCTGCCACGCAACTCCACTACATACGGATTCACTGGCAGAGCTGTTCGATTCGCCATCTTGAAATGGAACGCACGAGTTTTCTCACACGTGGACGCAGATGAAATCTTGGTGGCGCCATGCGGCAGCTATTTTGAACGTTGCGATGGAGGTGACGGGTACACGCCAGCCAGTAGCCCTAGCCTCGTACGTTGCAGAGGTCCCAACGTTGTACTCCCGGTGGCACTGCACAGTCCATTGGCCGCGGAAATAATCTGGAGAGAGTTCGCGGGTATAACGCACAAGCACGTGATAATTCGAGCCCCCCCCC